GCTTGCCGGGGGGCGCCCCCCCCGGGTGCGTGGCTATGGGGGGGCCCTGCCCCCAGGCATGCGGCTGGGGGGGGCCGCCCCCGGGTGGGCAAGTGTACCCGCCCCCTGGCGCCCAGCGGGCAAACAGCTACGCCCCCTGGCGCCCGCCAACCTGAAAAGGTTGGGGACCACTGCCTTAGAACCATTTTACTATATTTTTTGAAAAACCAACATTCTCTCCATTTAAATGGTTTGTCACCAAATAAGGTTCCCTGCAACTACCTTACATATATAGATATATTAGAATTATGTGTATACCTTACTCTGGTAATAAGCAAGTACTGTATCACAGAAGAGATGAAAATGAAACCATCTAATATATAGCAATGAGATATACCATCGTGAGTTATATTCTAATTACACATAAAATACCATTGTACAGAACCTTAATTACCAAGATAATTAGGAATCTTTCACTATATTTGCCAAATATGAGGCTATTGCAAAGTGGGGGTATAACTGGAGGGACAATAACTACTCTCTGAAAATGGTTAACGGTACACAAGCATGCTGGAAGGGCATGACAAGTGAAGTTCCACAAGGGTCTATTTTGGGGCCAGTTCTCTTTAATATCTTCCTCAACCATTTAGATGATGGCATAGAGAGTATGCTTCTTAAGTTTTCAGATGTACCAAGCTTGCAGTGCTTTGGAGGATAGGGTCATAATTCAAAATGGTCTGGACAAACTGGAGAAATGGTCTGAGGTAAATAGGATGACGTTTAAAAAGGACAAATACAAAGTACTCCACTTAGGAAGGAACAATCAGTTTCATACATACAGAATGGCAAGTGACTGTCTAGGAAGAGGTATTGTAGAAAAGAATATAGGGGTCATAGTGGACCACAAACTTAATATGAGTCAACAGTGTGACACTGTTTAAAAAAAAAAACTAAACATGATTCTAGAATGCATTAACAAGAGGAGTGTTGTGAGCATGACACGAAAAATCATTCTTCCACTCTACTCTGTGCTGATTAGGCCTCATTTGATGTACTGTGTCCAGTTCTGGGTACCACATTTCAAAAAAGATGAGTTGAAATTGAGACATTCCAGAGAATAGCAACAAAAATGATTAAAGGTCTAGAAAACATGACCTATGAGGGAAGACTGAAATAATTGGAAAGGAGAAGACTGAGAGGTGACATGACAGTTGTTTTGAAGTATTTAAAAGGGTGTTATGAAGAAGAGGGAGAAAAATTGTTCTTCTTGGCCTCTGATGATAGGAAAAGAATCAATGGGCTTAAAACTGCAGCAAGGAAGGTTTCGATTGGACATTAGGAAAAACTTCCTAACTGTCAGGGTGCTTAAACACTGAAATAAATTGCCTAGTGAGGTTGTGGATTATGCATCACTGGAGATATTCAAGCACAGGTTAGGTACGCATCTGTCAGGGATGATCTAGATGGTATTTGGTCCTGCTGTGAGGGCAGGGGACTGGACTCAATGACTTCTAGACATCCCTTCCAGTTTTAGGATTCTATGATTTTATGAATAATATGGTAATAATTTGTATGGTACTAAGCAGGAAGAACTGGAAGTGCTAATAAATAAGTACAATCATGACATTGTACAGCTTGCTCAGGAAGGATAGACAGGGAAAAAAGGGGGGAGGTGTTGCCTTATATATTAAAAATGAACACACTTGGAGTGAGGTGGAGATGGACATAGGAGACAGAAGTGTTGAGAGTCTCTGTGTTAGGCTAAAAGGGGTTAAAAACAAGGGTGATGTCATGTTAGGAGTCTACTACAGGCCACCTACCCAGGTGGAAGAAGTGGATGAGGCTTTTTTTAAACAACTAAAAATATTATCCAAAACTCAAGATTTGGTGGTGATGGGGGACTTCAACTATCCAGATATATGTTGGGAAAATAACACAGAGTGGCACAGACTATCCAATAAGTTCTTGGACTGCATTGGAGACAACTTTTTATTTCAGAAGGTTGAAAAAGCTATTGGGGGGGGAAGCTGTTCTAGATTTGATCCTAACAAATAGGGAGGAACTGGTTGAGAATTTGAAAGTGGAAGGCAGCTTGGGTGAAAGTGATAATGAAATCATAGAGTTCGCAATTCTAAGGAAGGATAGAAGGGAGAACAGCAAAATAGAGACAATGGATTTTGGGAAGGCAGATTTTGGTAAGCTCAGAGAGCTGATAGGTAAGGTCCCACAGGAATCAAGACTGAGGGGAAAAACAACTGAGGAGAGTTGGCAGTTTTTCAAAGGGACATTGTTAACGGCCCAAAAGCAAGCTATTCCGCTGCGTCAGAAAGGTAGAAAATATGGCAAAAGACCTCCTTGGCTTAACCACAAGATCTTGCATGATTGTCAGCCGATGGTCAGGGCAGGGTGTGTCCTATACCTGTCCCTTATGACCGGCTGAAGTTCTTTTAAATTGTTCTTGGTTCTGTTACAGCAACTGGAGGAGTCAGGTTAAAGCTTAAACAGTTACAGGTTTATTAAAGAAGCTTATAAATCATATGGTTACAATGGCTATTGCTCTCTTTCTTAACTGTTAACAAATATATATATAGATCTTAAAAAGTGGTTACAGGAAAAAGGTAAAGATAGAAAATAGAAATAATGGTACCAAATGACAGCTTAATCTTTAAAGAGCTCTAACACTATGTATATATATACTTAAGCAAAGGACCA